GCGCCCCCCCACCCCTCCGTCTTCAGCCCTTTTGATTTTTCTCTGAGGCCTCGGCCGAGATTTGTGGCACCCGACTCTCTAATTAAATAACTACAGGTTTTGCTGATTCTGCGTACCGCTGTTGGGCTCTGTGCGCGCGCTCGGTTATCTGAAAGGTTTCGGCTAGTGGCACCCAATGCCTCCCTGGGGGTCGTCAGCAGCCCCAGGAATCAGCCCGTGTCCCAGAGTCTCCCTGTTGCATCTGTGTGATCCCCTCGCTCAGCTAAGATTTATCCGAGCGGGGTCGGATTACCGTACCGACACTCCTGCCGTGGAGGCTCTATAGAGTGGCTTTCCCTTTGGGAGGGTGCCTGCTGTCTCTCCCGATGAGTCACTGGCCTGAGGTGGCCCTTTCCCCCCCAAGCAGGCGAGGGAACTTCCCACGAGAGATTCGCTTGTAAAAAGTGGAAAACTTGGTGCCCCAGAGTGAAATGAGGAAGGTGTGGGTGTTTCATGTTCGTGATCTGGGGGAGGGGATAAAAAAAATTAAAAATCAAAACTTGTGCGGATGTGAGACTGAAGAATCTGAATCTGAAATTGGGGAAGGAAGAAGATATTTTGGTAGTCAGGCGCTCAGAAGGAGCCAATTTTGGAGCAGAGCATGGTGAGAACCTCGCTAGACAGAGTGCCTTTTTCTGCCCCCCCCAAAAAAGAGAGAAAGAAACATGGCATTTAAAAAAAAAATAGAGTCAAGTTTATTTTCAGATCCTGCATTCCCTGAGACAAAAATTACAGACGAGGTAATGTGGCTGATGAAATTCTCAGAGACGTCCAAATGAAGGGTTAGGGAAGAGACCCCAAGGAGGGGGGAGGATTTCTGGGTTTCCACCCCCCCTAAAGCCAAGCTAGAATCCATTTTGATGTTTTCCATAGACTCACAAAGGGGCTCCCCCTCTTTTTCAGGCAGTTCTAGCGAAAGGGAGGCGGGGGACCCCCGTGCCCCCAAAGCAGTTTTGGCCCCGAGTTTCAGCCCCACAAATGCCAGGTACCTCCAAGCGTTTGGCTGCTTGCTGCGAAAAGGAATGAAAGGGTTCCACTTTCTCTCTCCCAACCGACCGTAACCCCCCCAAAATCCAACCCCCCTGCACCCCTCAACCAGAAAGAATTGAAAAGGGAGTTGGCCCCGTTGGCATCTGGGGACCCTTTCAGCCTGTTGGAAAAGCTCAGCTTTCATCCTAAGCTTTTAGTCCTCCTCAATTGCAAAGGCGGCCCGCCGATCCTCCACGAAAGCGAGCTTGGGGGTGGGCTTCTGGGAATTTGGACCCTCCCCTTCAAAATTTCCCTGGTACGAAATCCCAGGGATGGGAAGGGTCAATAGCTGAAGCGGGTGTGAGTTCCTTTGGCCGTTGGCCCACCCGCAGGCCCCCACCCACGTGGCCTCCAGGGTGCTTTGCTCCCCTCCCCAGCTCCCCCAGGACCCCCCCTCTTGGCGGGCTCACAGCTTCCCTTGGTCCATGAGCTGGTTCAGCCCCTGGCAGACCTTCTCCAGGTGGGGCTCAAAGGGGCCCCCCGGGCTGTACAGCCGGGCGAGGAGTTCGGGGTTGGCGAAGTGGTCGAAGACGTGGCGGATGCGGCCGTGGGACTTGGCCGTCAGGTGCTTCTCGACCAGCCGGAGCAGCAGGTCGCGGCACTCCTCCAGCAGCTCGACCAGGACGGCCCGCTCGAAGGTGAAGGCCACCTGGTGGAAGCTGACGGCCGTCATGGCCCCCTGGCGCAGCTTGTGCTTGAACTCCTCGGCCAGGGCCAGCTCGGGGTCGCTGAAGCGGTGGTTCCGGTACAGGACAGAGACCTTGACGGCCACCTTGACGAGGTCCTTGATGACCTTCTGGGACGCGGCCCGGTCCTTCGTGTGCTCCTTGGAGATGCGGTAGAGCTCGTCCAGGACGGCGCCGCTGGTCTCGTCGATGAACATGGTGACCGTGGACTTACTGGCCATCCGGCTGAGGATCTTCTTCTCCGCTTGCAGGGCCAGGTTGCGCGAGCTGAAGGCTTCCATCTTGGCCGCGGCGGGGGGGGGGGGGGGGAGAAGGGGTGCCCGGCTCCAAAGGGGCGGCCTCCCCGGGTAATGCCAAGGAGAAGTTGCAGCCCCGGTCCAAACAGCGGAGGAAGCTCTGTGGCTTCTTTTGGGCAGCAGGCGACCGATGCAGCTTATTAAAAACAAAACCCCAAAAAACCCAAATTTGTTTGGTGCCTCAAATCTGTTTTTGACATTAGGGGAGTGCATGAAATGGATGCTGCCTTAAGTAAAGCTTTATTTTTCTGCAAATCCGTCCGCGCGCTCGCTTCAACTCCCTCTGCGCGGGGAGCATGTTCCCCTTCCTGCCTCTCCCGCCCCTCGGCTCTTCGTTCCCTTTTGCCCAAAAAAGAGACCTGCGTGTCTCCAAAGCTGGCCCGTTTTGAAGGGAGCTCTGAGTGGGCCCTGGTAGAAAAGTTGGAGAGCAGAAGGGACTCTCCAGTCTTGCCGAATCCGAAAAGGGGACTGGCCAGAGTCATCTTTTCAAAGAGCGAAAATAAGAGGCGGCGTGGGTTTGGCCAGCCCCTTTTGCAAAGAGCCTGCCTGGGGCTTTATTTAAAGTCAGCGTTTCCTTTCTTTGCCCCCCTAGCCATCCGCTCCCCCTGCTCCAGGTACCACGGGGCTTTCCTGCTTTAAGCTGTTTCCTGTCGCAGAACAACCTCAGTTCCTCTGAGATCCTTTTCGGATCTCCGAGCAGGGAGGCGCGTTGGCCCTCGATGCTGAAAAAGCGTGGAAAATGCAGACCCGGGCAGAGACGGGGGAGGACTCCAGAGCTGTAAAGCTGGGGGGGGGGGAATGAACAGCGATGCCATCCCACTTGGTCTGTGGTTTCTGCCCCCCTGCCCTCCCACGGAGCCCCAGGGCGAAAGGTAACCCACAAGGGAGGACCCGTTTTTGTAATCTCATTTCTCTCACTGGAGGGGAGAGAGGAAAAGTGTGCCTCTGAGCATCTGCAGAGGGCTGTGTTCCCAAAGAGTCAGGAGCCAGGAAGCGCCTTGAACAGCCTGGTCCAAAGAGAGGCTGCGGGACGGGCCAGAAGGGAGGAACCGGAGTAGGCGCCTGCTAAGCGGCATCCGGTGTGTGTCCCTTTGCTTTCAAAGCAGCTGCTCTCCCCCACAAGCCTCAGCTCTGCAAGTGGGGGTCCCAAGGTGCTGGGGGGGAGGAGGCAGAGGAAGGGCCTGTGCTGCCCCAGTGCTGAAGCAGAAGCACGTGCCCTGGGCACGCTGCTGGCCCCTTCATGATCAGTCCTCAAGGAGGCTGCAGGAATTCATGTAGGGGGTGTGGAAGGTTGTGGCCCACCAGGTAGAGCCCCAACGCTGGGCCGGAAGGTGTGTGGTTGGCTTGTGGGACTCTGGGCCACAAGGTGGGGTGGGAGCCATTGCTTAGCAAAATCTTTAGTATTCTTATCGCCATACAAAGTCACCAAAGAAGAACCCCTTATTTCTACAGCTATCCTCGGGATAATTAAGAGGGTCTTCCATGTCTCAGCTCGCTCTGTCTTTGCTGTTGTGCACGTGGTGGGGCAATAGGGGCAGACTATCCTTCCCACGCCCTGTTTCCTTTGCAAGGGGACCCCGCGCCCATGTCGGAAGCGATGCCAGGATGTCGGTCGGGGGTCTCGTGCAGCCAGACATTGTGTGCCAAGCTGGAAAATGATGGGCCTCTCCCTTTGCCCCAGGCACCCAGCCCCTCACCTGCACATTGCCACGGAGCACACACCTGTTCGAGTCTTGAGGACTAACCCCTTGGAAAGGGCCCTGTAATAAATTCACCCCCGGGGTGGCAGGATCACCAGCACTCTGGACACGCCTCTGGCAAATGTCTTTCCTCCGCTCTGCTCCCTCCCCCACCATCTTCTCTTACAGGACTCCCACCGAGGCAGCCCAGCGGGATACTCTCTTTTCCTTTCTGGCAATTAAAAAGGGTCGGGTCGGGTCGGGTCGGGTCGGGTCGGCTTGGCGGGCCTGAAAGTATCCGTCCCCTGGACGTCGGGGGGGGGGGATGCTCAGGGAGGGGGAGGCTCACCCTTTGCATATGCAACCCAGAGGCACCACGATTGTCATCTAAGCCTTTCCGCGCCGCCCAAAGCCTTGGACTGAGCATCTTCGAGGAAGAGAGTCCAGCCCCAACCCTCGGCCCCGGACTTCTTCTTTCCTCGCCCCGGGACTCAGTTGCAACACCGGGGCAGGCGGAATGAAGGCGCCCCCTCCCAAAGGCGAGGAAGAGCGCCATCCGCGCCCCAGAGAAGCCGCCCCGCTGCCCGGCGCACCCCGAGGGGCGCATGACTCACCGGGCCCCGGAGTCCTCCTGGCGCGTCCGAGCCCTCCTGCCGGCGTTGGGCACCGCGGACGGGAGAGAAGCCGCCGGGCGGTCCC